CCCCCCCCCCTCCCCAAAAAAAAGAGATTATTATTTCTATTTAATGCTTTGATTTCTTCCCTGCTTCCCTCAATATTCTTGAATCTCGTTCTCGAGTCCTGTTCGGCAATCAGTCATTAACTGAACGACTCTACTCCTAGATCACAGTTATTTACAGTTCGCCGAACGCGTAGATAAACACCGCTGTCATTTTCATATTTCGTATTTCCGATTGTTGGTGCTTTGCTCGGTTATCTCTGTATATCACCTTCCCGTATTTTTCGTGGCTCACGTTCTCCACGTCTTCTTCGCAAATTCCACTTTTCTATGTGTTTGAACAAGTAACTCCCCCGAAACTCGAGTGAATGAATGGAGGAAATATCTAATGGCTGTTTCTCGAACGGAATTGATAAAAGAAAGGATTCCTTCAATCGGTGGAAGGAAGAATTCATTCACGAATCGTTCGAGTTCAAAAATCCTCGACAAACTCCTAACGCAGCTGGTCGTCGTTCTCGAGGCCTGTCGCCATTCGAACGATCTATCTATCTATATTAGCTGATCGTACAGCACAGGCAGCGTTCCCACCAGATACGTGTCGACGCCGACGACGACGACGACGACGTCGACAACGACACCGCGATCCTAAGATCGTGTACCAAGTCCGTCATCGTACCTCGGCATTCCTCTGCTGTTTTTCTCGTTTCGTTCACTTGCCACACAACTTGCGATATTAGCAAGAACAGCTCGTACCAGAGAAACGCGAGCACCACGACAACGAATCTCCTGGCAACTTGCCTTCCACCATCATCGATACCGAGAGTTTCCGTTTCGTGCTCGCTTCTCTTTCGTGCTTCCCTCTTTCTCCCTCCGAGATAGGTGTATCGAGGACAAGATCTTCCACCTGTTTCTTTCCCGTCTCTTCGTCCTATCGTTGCTACGTATGGAATGAACTATATGAAACCGACTCTTGCACCAGAATATCCTCGAGAATCATCGAGACGAGCTCTGCTACATTGTCGAGCACGCGAGCGCTGTGCAAAACAGAGCAACTCTTTCTTCACTTCCATTTACGCGCGATACTTCCTATCGAAGCCCGGCCACATATCCAGCAACATTTTCGTTTCGAACCACGCGAGCGTGATATTTTATTAATTAATTCACAGCAGCTTTTCAAGTCCGCCACGTGCCGGACGCGTTGTTGCGTCGAGCGTAATCGATGCGATAGCTTCCCAAGTACGAACTGGCACCTATTGCGTGCTCTCTATTTCTGCTTCCCTCTCCAGTTGTCAATTAATTTGCCCGAATCGACTGGGTCATTTGCTGTTTATCTTTCCATGGAACTGTTTATCTTTCCACGGAAACAGAACGGTTTAGCTCTGTTTCTCTTTCTCTCTCTCTCTTTATGAATATGTTGCTATCAATATTTGAGAGACGCGTTCGACTCTTCTTCAAGTCGCAGCGTTGTCGATAAGAATCTTACAGAAGGGAATGAATTCAAACACCGAACGAAGAAAAGAAATTCTTCAACGACGAACGTTCGATCGCGACTGAAGGCTCTCAACTGGTCTCGAGCGATTTTCGAGCATCGTCCGCGAAACATTCATTGCGTAGCTGTGTTGTTACAGCCTGTTCGTTCTCGGCACGCGCAAGCTTTTTTTACTTGCTCGAGGCCCGTGGTGGATCACACAGCACGCAAGGACCACGCTGGTTCCATTCGTCGACGTAACACGTCAGAGCGGGGAGGCACACGAGTAAAAGCTTCACCGGTCGCGCAGATGTTTTCCGCGACGCACAGCTCTCGCGATAGACGGCACGTCGCATGCGTCACACCGTGGGCTCCTTCCTCGTGACACCACAATTCTACAGAGCACACAGCCTCCTGATTCAACGTGAAACCATTACTACTCTGGCTGCTTTAGCAGCCATAATTTTCATTGCAATTTCGATGCGCCGTTTGTCTCTTTCGCGTTGCTCGTTCATCCCTTGGTTGTTTGATTCGAGAGAAAACCGGAAACCTCCGGAGAGTATCTCGCTTCGTTAGGAAACCACTCGTCGTCTCTTCCCGCAGGAAAACGCTACCTGCACCGAATCTTTGACTCGTTGTCTCCTCGCTTTTCAAGGATACGCTTTCGATCGACACACCGGTAAGAATTAAACGGCACACAGCAGTTTAAGTTGGGAGGAAGATCAGGAAGCCGGTGCTCTCCCGACCCTCCTCGTTCGGCCCGGCCGGAACTTCTCTTCCCTTTGTTTACAAATGTTCCTCGCAGGATAACTGCTCAAACTTCTTCGATGTGGTTCGTGTTATCCACTCGTGTCTTTTCATCATCCCCGTGCACAAAGAAACTATCGTCCGATCGGCTTCGTGCAGCGTGCACACGATCCACAGGAGAAACGTCGGAACAGACCAGCGGCGATCAACGATGATGATTTGTCAACACAGCGAGACGCGAATCTCCTTCTCGTGGATCATTGTCCGCGTGAACGAACAGGCGTCAGATATGATTGGATACCGGAGAGTAGGTCGAGATAGGAGACCGGAGAGAGAATGTGGTCGGTCGGCCGCGTGCGACGAGTGTACGTGTGCGCGTCAGCGGACGCTGGCAGACGCGTTCTCTACCGTCTGGCGTACCCGCTCGGTTGACGACTCGCGACTGAGCTACTGCTCGCGGTGCGGTATCGGTCAGGCGGTCGATCGGTTGGTCGGTCGGTCGGTCGGTAGGTCGGTCAGTCGATCGGTCGATCGGTCGGTCGGTCGTTCGGTCGTTAGCTAGCTTGCTCGTTCGTTCGCTCGTTCGTTCGCTCGCTCGCTCGCTTGCTCGCTTGCTTGCTCGCTCGTACTCGATGGCGAGGTAGCCGGCAGCTCCGGAAGGGAAGCGTGCTGCTCTCGAGCCTCGAGCCGCCGGAGCAGCCGCGACGCAGCGCCGAGCGAACGGTCACCTAGCCAAGGTCCAAATTGATTTTTACGTCGCGGCGGCGGTGGCGACGCACGACGGTGTCCCGACGCGGCGGCGAACCGCTTCCCCGTTGCCCGGGCAACCCTCAACTATGACGTCATCCGTTCCCCTACCCTTTAAACCACCCTCACCTTCAACCCCCTGTCTTTCATGCTCTGCTTCACCACTCTGCTTTGCCACTCCGCTTCGCCACTCTGCTCACCGTTCCCCTATCTTTTTCTATCTTCCCCCAAATCCCCAGACTCTTCCTCTTTCATCTTATCCGTATCTCACCCTTCTCTCTCTCTCTCTCTCTCTCTCTC